GTCCATCACACTAGCAATCAAACCTTTCAGTCTTGGCCCAAACTCCACGTCCGACTCAGGCGTGGCGGCCATCTTGGCCGGGGACTCGGGCGTGGCGGCCAGGATGGCCGGGGACTCGGGCGTGGCGGCCATGTCATGACGAGACTCTTGAAGATCAGCTGAGACGTGACGAGACTCTAGAAGGGCGGCCATTTTTTTGTGAAGAGACTCCTGTGTGGCGGCCATCTTGCAACGAAGCTCCTGGATGGCGACCATGTTGTGAATAATCTCTTGAGTGATGATGTGAGCAGGCTTTGGCTTGGCAGCGAACAAACCAATGGGAAACAAGACACATGACTAAGACAACCAATCAGAACATGACACAATGAACAGAGGAACCAATGGCATGAATACATGAGGGCAAGGGAAGCAAGACACTAACAGCATGAAATAATTCCAAAATAAAAGACATGAGAACATGACAAAAACAAAACCCAAACCCCACATTACAGTATCGCTACAAAATATTAAGGTACATTATATCCATTGTATCTTAATAATAATAATAAAAATGTTTCCTCCAGGTCATTTCACATCAGATCTTCAGCTGATCTACAATCCAACAACCAAGTGTGCTCCATCGATCATGAACTCGAGCACGGAAGCTGTATCCACACACCCCACAGACTGCGCTGAGGTTCAGGTCCCCAGTCAGGTGTTCATGGCCATCGCCGTGGCCAGTCTGAGCGAGAACGTCTTGGTGATCGTAGCCGTCATCAAGAACAGGAACCTTCACTCTCCTATGTACTGCTTCATCTGCAACCTGGCCGTGTTTAACACCATCTCCAGCCTCTGCAAAGCTTTGGAGAACATCCTGCTGCTGTTTAAAGAGGCCGGGCACCTGAACTCCCTTGGTCATTTTGAGCTAAATATAGACGACATCATGGACTCTCTACTCTGCATGTGCTTCCTGGGCTCCATCTTCAGCATCCTCACCATAGCCGTGGACCGCTACATCAGCATATTCCACGCGCTGCGCTATCACATGCTCATGACCATGCGTCGCATGGTGGTTACGTTGTCCACCATCTGGGTGTTGTGCGGCAGCAGCGGAGTGCTCATGATCGGGTTCTTCGAGGCCGCTACGGTGAAAATCTTCTTCGTTGTGCCCTTCTTCACAGCTCTGCTCCTCATCCTCTTGCTCTACGTGCATATGTTCCTGTTAGCGCGCCACCATGCCAACAGGATCGCATCTATGCCAGGACTTCACGCGCGCCAGAGACAAAGTGGCTTGAGGGGGGCGCTGACACTCACCATCTTGATTGGGGTGTTTGTGGCCTGCTGGGCTCCTTTCTCTCTTCATCTGCTGATTATGATGATTTGCCCAGAGAACCCCTATTGTGAGTGCTACCGCTCGCTCTTCCAGCTGCATGTAGTGCTACTGGTGAGTCACGCAGTCATTGATCCAGCCATTTATGCTTTCCGTAGCACAGAGCTGCGCAACACCTACAAGAAAATGTTCCTGTGTTCAGCTTCAAGGATCTTTAAAGAATGTGTCTGAGTGAGACGCGTGTCCCAGCAGTACATGCTTCACACTACTGAAGGATAAAAAAAAGTCTACAGAACTGCTACTTTTTCAAGTGGAAATGAAAGAGGCTGCAGATAAGATCAGTTTACAGGTATTGAAAGACCACAACAACATGTATTTAAAACAAACTATGCAATAACACTCTGTTACTCAAGTCATTAACATGAGTTAATGCATTAGCCTAGGTATAAGTACGGTAACGATAAACAATTATTACAACAGTGTTCATTTGTGAATTGTTTATCAGTTGTTTAATAATATGTTTGTTCACAGTACATTAACCTGTGATAATTTATAATTCAACTTGTTCAAATGTATTAGTCTATGAATATAAATCCTAGGTTATTACATTTTGGGTAACACTTCACAATATTTGTTAACATTAATTAAATGCATTAGTTAAAAAAAACAACATAATGAAAAATACTTCTAAGTTCATTTTTAATCTTACTTAATATTAATGTATGAATATACTAGTACATTATTAAAATCAAAAGCTGTGTCTGTTAATATTATGGACCTGCGCTTCTATAGTTTATGGTATAGTTATAGTTTTAAAACTTTGAATTCTTTTTTTATATTTTGTTTCCATTTTAGGTTTAAAGTTTAAGTAATTTTGTTGTGCCTTTCATTTTAATTATTATTTTTTGTACAGTTTTTATTTTTTATTATTATTTTTAAATACAGTTCCAGTTTTAGTTTTAGTACCTGAAGTTAAACTAACTAAAAACAGAAATCATGTTTGATCAAATTTAATGCATCCATCCTTGCTGAATAAAAGTAGACCAAAATAGTAAAATAAGTTTTAGTGCATTAACTAAAGCTAATAAATTGGATATGATCATAACGTGTAACAAAATCTTTTTGTATTTTTAGGAAATTAGATTTGTCTACACACACAGTAGCCTATTAAAAGGCCTGTCATTTATGAGATAGTATACTTAGAAATCATAGTATACCCATACAACTGTACGAAGAAGAATTACCAGCTGGTTTTTAATTGCAGTAAAAAAAAAAAGACAAAATCAGTTGACAAAATATGTCAACCATTTGCAGGTACATGCATATATTACATTCATTGCACATTTGCATAACACACAATTATAAATGGAATCTTTTAACTCACAGTGACACAAAATAATAATTGCCTGCTTACATGATAATGAAATATTTAATTAGTAAAGTTATTTTAACAAATATTTTGACATGCATACTGATGTACTGTACAGTATTCAGGTACATATATTGTAAGACTTTTATGGTTTCCCAGATGTACTACAATATTATTCACAACACACAGTTTGTATGTTTTTATACTGT